CCGCTCGTTATGGCGGAATTTTCGCCATAAATTACATTATAACTTCATATTTGTATTTTCTATTTGTATATATTTAATTATTTATTCCACTGTTGCTCATAACTAAACTCGGCTTTACGCTTACGGCCTGCCATCCATGCTTAGCATAGTTAAATCTATAAACGGATATCGTAAAATACTTGCAACTTGTAAATTCACAAAGCCATCCACAATAAATTCGAGCAATGTGCAGGACCTTCAACTATCCCAGTTGTTGCCAGGAGGAGTGTATGTGGCATATGCAACCCGCTTGTACGGGTATGTGCAAGGAGCGCGCCGCCGCCAACAGTAGTCGAACGTTGCCACCGWCTACTGAGCTTCTGCGGCATACTGCAAATACTCGCACCACAGCGAACTCGAACTGTTCGAACTATTTTTCCTTACATGCTCWGTGGCAGCGGCAATAGTTGGAAAACAGCAGCCGGCCGACTGTGGTTTGCACACAACACATAAGTACATGCGAGTGTGTGTAAGTGAAGCAACACTAGGCAACTGGAACTACGGTGGCAACAACAACAGCAGGTGCAGCAAAATAAGCAAGGCAGCCGAAACAGCATCGCATRGGGTTACAAAAGAGCCAAAGAAATCTTGCAATCAAAAGAATTTCAATAACTTTAGTTGGGYGAGGAGCACGCCATGGCGACATACSCGCCTTGCGACAACGCCAATACCATGGCAGCGAGTGCCATCCGCCGCACATATTCTTATATGCATGCTTTTTTGTAGTATGCACTTGCAACGCTTGCCGCAGCTGTGCCACAACGTCGTAAAGGTAAAAATCTCAGCAYTGCTGCCATGAACTCATAGCAAGAACCGTGAGCTGCTACGTGGCAGGGTGTATTATTATTGTCGTTGTCGTTCTTATTGTTGTTGTTGCTGCGCTTGCTGCTCCTATCGTAGAAAAAATTGTCACTTAATTGCAAAGCGAACGTGATCAAAGTATTTGCCAACATTGCAACATGAGCAATTGCCAATTGAACTTTTACTTTTACATGCAACAAATATTGGCTGCGGCGGCTTCGGCAGCGATGTCGACGGTTCGTTTTCTTCCCGCCAATGCACCTAAAGCTGGAGTTAAATTGGTGGCTAGTTACTCTGCTTCTTTTTTATACCATTGGCTTTGTTGTTATTGTTGTTTTTTGTTTCAAGTTTTATTTTCCTCCCTTTTATTTGTTTTTGTTGCTGGCTGCTGGGTAAGGCACCGCTATTGTGGTTTTAATCAATTGGAATTTATGACTCGAACACCAGAACTATTGAGGGGAACGTAAATGGTATTGTAGAAAAATTCTTTACAGTGCTGCAGGTCGGTGTGTGTGTGCGCTCGGATTTGACTTCGGTTGCATCTACATATTTTATGTTGTTTACCAACCGTGAATATTGACTTTTGGGAATTACTTTAATTCGAAAATGCGCTTCTCGCTTTATTGCGTTTAATGATAAATAAATACTTTTTGATGCCGTTGGAGTGGATCGGAGAATTCGGGGATACACACCAACACACTTCTTTGCACACGCGTCTGAGAAAGTAATAAGCTGTTTGATAACTTTAATCCCAGTGGGCTTATTTGGGATCTACAAGGGCAATCACATGTTAAATTATGATATGAAATAGCTTCTTGTGTTTTTCATTTTCACTTTTGTCTTGTTTCGAAGTTTTATGTAAGTAGTTAGAATTTGGTATCCAGTCTCAAATTTGTCAAAGATAGCTGTAAAATGGAACGAGGATTTAAACTGCTTTGGAGATATGTAAGCAGCTGGTGATGGTCCGAATTTTATTTTATTTAGCATAGTTAGAGGTAAAATATTAACCGTTTTTTTCGGTAGCTTGGGGTAGAAACTTTTTTCTATATATTCTCAATGTTCGTCTCTGCTGGCAATAAGTTGATATATTCGATTTTCACAAGCTTCTTCTAAGTCGAATTKTCATTCGCGATAGACAGGACAAGTAGTAATCACTTGACACTAGGAACTGACTACCTTTTAGACTGTAGAGATATATAAGAACCAACCTCMCGGAGCTTTTGGCGGGCTACCATTTATGTATATGACTTATCCTTGCCATAATAAAGCGCAATTCCTTTCCCACTGATATATCCTATCCGCGTCTGGGCGATTATAAACTTCAACCGATCCGATCGGGCTAGGCATGTTAAGAATTTTTCATAGTGCATGATTCCCTGAAAGTCCCATCAAACACATATCAAAACCTTCCAGGCTGTCTATCAATGCATGGTGGCTGCTTGCAAAATCTCAGTACTAGACGACCACGACCAATTTCGTTGGACGATGATTCGATGGTAAATGTCATTTGTGTTAGTCTCTGAYGGAGAGCTAAAAGATTTGTTAGAACATCTTCTCGAAGTGTCACCATTTCTGCTGATATCAGTTTGCCCGAACCTCGAAACCTTAATACAAGCAGAAGTTCAATTGATAACGAATATACCAAATATGAATTGAGTGCCCTACATTTGATCATGAGTAACCATCCGTTTTTGACATGGATTGATTTTGTTGCGATGCAGCAGCGATTTGCAGATCCGAATTTAGAGAGAGCAGCTCATACTAAATGACTCCTTGCCAATCCCGTCAAACAGATAGAAAAACAATTCCGACCGTCAATCCCGTCATCGATATTGTTTACATCGACTTACCGCGATTCCAACATCACCGTTCTCACTTGATGTTCTTGCATTTAACTCTTTTCAACTTCAGTAATAGAATTTTGTGGTGATTCGGTAGCGATTGAAAACTCCGTCAGTGAATTAATTTTTTGCCTTAACTTGTATGGCTTCGCAGTTACCATTTCGTCTTTTGGTCTCAACAGCGACACACAATTTTGAATAGAAGCCTTATAGATTAACATTCTCTCTGATCTCATTTTGAGCTTCGCAGTTACCATTTCGTCTAAAGGCAAATCATATGTTTTGAAAGTTCCAAATTCATAATTTTTTTTTTTTAATTTCSCCACCAGTCGGGGTTTCATTTTCAGGTTGGAAATTATGAAGGTAAAGCACTGGCTTGTAACATTAAATAGTCCAAGTATATCTAGAGGGGACTTGAAGGTATCGATCTGCATTACCCACTGGTACTGAACAATTATTATGATTCTAAAAAATATAGGCTTTAAAGATTAAATACGCGGAAATACCCAAGATAGTTGATAATTGAGGGTTTTTACTGCGGCATATGGTCTATTGGCCCCCTCCTATATCACATATGGTCTCAAAGGTCCAGCACTCTGAATAATAACAGGAGCTTGCTGAGCGCGATGGATTCAAGGCCCTTGAGGCTGCTTCTACAAACTGCTGGGCAATCTAGCATCAGGTGTTCTGCAGTTTCTGTTTCCATGTTGCAAAACTGGCTTATGCTTACTCGAATTCAAAATTTATAAAAGTCTTAGGAAAGAAAAAAAATATTTGGTGGTGTGATTTTTAAGTACCCGATTCAGTTAAGTTGATAAGTATTATTTTCCAAGAAATACGCCACTCGAGGGCACCACTCCATTTAACCGGCTAATGGAAACTCAAGAGTATGTTAAACACGATATAATATTTGGTCCATAATTTAAGCATAACCTCAACTTAGCTCCTCAAGTACACTGAATCATGTATATTTTCCAAGTATTAAACCATAAAATTTCAAAATTAATTTCCGAAAGTGGTACTCCATAAATTTTGGTTCCCGATCTTAAAAGGAGAAACCTGAGTGTGTTTATTTCATTGGCATTAGAAAGCTTATCCCATGCAAATTCAGTTAATCATATGCAGTGTTAATGTTTTGAACTCGAAATAATAGAAATTGACAAATTTCAATTGAAAACTGTATATTTATGGCTTTATGTTCAAAATCGAATGCATAAATAAACGCTAAATAATGCAATAATGGCTTAATACTAACMGAGTTTGGTACAAAAGTGTATACATATATCTGCAATAAATATTGATCAGATGCGCTGGATTAAGCCACATATGAAAAGACAAACTCATWAATATGTATGGAGATGCAAACATACAGACATAGATAAGTATGTGATCAAGCCTAGGCACCCACAATGAACCAATAAAAGTGGAAAAGTCATAAAAAGGCAAAGAAATGCGCTGCGCGATAGAGAAAAGGAGAGAGGAAAGTATTTATTACCTGTTATTTGTTTGTATTTACATACATAGGCACACACATACATAGGCACACACACATGCATGGGGATATTAGTTGCATGAAACAAATACACAAGCTTATTAAATGAGAGGTGAGTGTGTATAGGCCTAGATATGAGTATGTTTGCATGTGCGCTTGTGTGTGTGTTTAGTCAGTTCCTGTTTAATAACATGTTTCATATTGGTGCCATTCCCTCGCACAACAACTCAATTTGTATGCGCACGAGATGCAAACGAAATTTCCAATTGGAGTGCATTAAAAATTAAAGAGCGCCGAGCGGWAGACTTACTCACTCTTCCCAATGGGAAAACACTCACTGCTGCTATGAGTGAAAGAGCTTGAATTGTTAACATTGAGTGTTTCGCATATTCCACATGTTTCAACGAGCATTCGCATACAAGATTAGAGCAAGGAAAATGAGYGAGTTTTTTTGGAACTCTCAGCAATAAACAACTCACTCGTACGCCAGAACTCAACCGCTACAAGAGACACCAGGTTTTGTTTGTATCTCACAGTTGCGTTTGAAACGAAATYGCCACTGAAACACACTACCACCACCAACAACAACAAGAACCACAATAATAACAGCAGCAACAACACACGCGCTGTCAGAAAACAAGGTAGCGCCATCAACGGCCGACCTATGTGTGCGCGCCTGTGTGTGTGCCTATATTGAGTGRAATGCGCTTGTGGCCAAGCGGCTGGGCATTGCGGGCACAGTACATAGCTCACACAGCTCACTGCTCGGCTCAATGTGATAAGTGTCGCGCTGCGCCGGAAAATATTAGCTTCGTCGGACCTGTTTCCATTGAGTGCGATTCAGTGCTTGAGACCGGTTCAAATCGATTGAAGCAAAATTGCGGCGCTACGTTGGCGTGCGGATGCAAACTACACGGAATCGTCAACTTAACGAACGAACGAACGGTACGACTGTGTGTCAGAAAATCCAATTTAAATTAAATACATATACACGTACGAACGCAAAATTATAACTGCAAAGAAATTGGTTAAAGTTGTTTAAAGARAAAAATTAAGAAAAACAGCGCTTTCGAATCGAAAATGCAAACAAAGTGTTATTTGGAGTGTAAGGCCCAACCAAAKCAAGTGCGTGTGCCAAAGTGAAAAAAAAAATAAAAAAAAAATTTTAAATTTGAAATCTAACAAATTTGCATAAAACCGTTAAGCAGCAAAGGTACAAAAGTTAAAAAAAATTAATCAATAAAGATAAAAGTGTAAAAAATCGGTTAGAAGACAGGTTTGTTTTGGAGAAGCTGTTTTATTTAGCAGCAGACTGAAATTAAAAAGCTCACAAAAACAGCGAAATTCAATTGCTGATCATTGGAAATCACTTTAGTCATAAGCAAAKGGTAATAATAAAATTATTTTGAAAATTTTCACATGAAAATTTGTGCTATGTGACCCCAAAAACATACAAAAACAATATGTTGCGACATTATTAAAGCGCTTTGTAGTGGCTACTTATCAGCCGAAAAAGCCACTGAAAATAATTTGATTTTTTTTTTTTCTTTTTTTTTTAATTTTTCATTGACGCGCTGGCCTCTGAGCTCGACTTAGTGAATTGTGCAAACGGCAGTCAAATTTAATGACACAGTTTCGGTTTTCTTTTTTTTCTTTTTTTCTTTTTTGGTTTGTTCTTGTTTTTTTGGTTTTTAAATAGAAAGCCCTGCTGCTATTGATAACATTAATATTTATGATAATGTGCAGCATACAACCTTATTAGCTTAAATGCCTGCTACACCCCTCACAAAGTCGTGCTTGTGTGTGTGTTTGTGCGCTAGAACTCGAGTACTGCAGCGGCAGCTGCTCTCTTCAAGTGTTACTATTTCATGACATAATTGCTTTCAAAGGCTTGCTATTGCCTGCCTAATAGCAATATTATATTATTTAATTGTCGGAGCGCATACATCTGGCGCTTGAAGTGGCGTTGCGGCGCGCGCCAGCATGCACATTAACCGTTATTRAGCTCAAGTTGATAGCTGAGTTGAAAGCCTACTTAGTCTAATCGATTGAGGGCTGTCAATGCGTTCAGAGTCAATTAGGCAGCAATGGTTTTGAGAACACTGAGAAAAAAAAGAAGAAGAAACTAAAAAAGTTAACAAGCGGCAATATGAATTAAATAAATTGAATGCTTTGAAGTAATTAATATTTTGATAGCTCAAAAACCGTCTGTAATTGTGAACTCTTTAMATTYTTTAAAGAAAAAATTCATTCGGAAATTGTTAATTTTTCATCAGACCTCTATCACAATATATTTGAAACTTTTTCGCATAATGCCGTTTGTGGCAAGTAACACCTACTCGCGCACACGCTCCTTAAAAACAAACAACAAAGTTTGTAACTTCTCTTTGACATTGCTGACTTCATATTGTGCTTGCAGCAGCGCTTTGCTGCTGTTGTTGTGCTTTTGCCAGTGTCAAGTGCACAATAAGAGCACATATGGTCACAGCAGCAGCAGCGAACGGCATTTGTTAAGCTTTTTATTGCATTCATTGTTGTTGTTTTTGTCGTTGCTGTTGTTGTTGTTGTTGTTGTCGTTGTCGACATCGTCGCGGATGTTGCCGCGTCGGACGCGGTCATCAACTGAAAACAATTCGCGATTTGCTTCGTTGATTCAAAGTATACGGCAGCGACAGCAACAACAACAACGTTCCACTGAAGAAGAAAAAGTAGCATCAAACAACAATAACAAGAACAACGGCAGCAGTAGCCTGCAAGCAATAGCGAAAACAACAGCAACTGCATTTTTCTGCAACTTGTTCGGTTGCTTGCGACTTAGCTATTTATATATGTGTATATGTGCACATCTACATGTATTTRTGTGTGTGTGTRTTTGTGCAGCATGCATGTCCGCTTTTACGGCCTCTCATATGCACGTTCGTACTGGTGTGCGTACTCCCCGCTAATTTTCCAGCACAATAAAAACAAAAGCACAAACTAGCTKCAAGCTGCCCGACAATCAACTGCTCACACACACACGCACACACACAACCGTAGTATGTTTGCTAGCTGCGGCAACCGGCTTTTGCAAAGCAGTAAAGCAAGGCGTAATGGCAATTTTAGTAGAAATAAACAGCAACAACAACAACTGCCTAGAAATGTTTGCGCAGCAAATCTAAACCTGCTGCAAGTGTAGTAAAAATAACAAAAACAACAACAGCGATAACAAAAAGTTGCCACTACAAAATGTGTATTAATATTTAAGGCGAGGCAGAAAGAAAGCATTTTTACGCAAAAATAAATAAACTCCGCTTTACTGCAAATTGCAACATTTCCTCTTAAGGCTGCCTCCATAAAATTGGAGCAACCAGCCAAACTCATAAATAAGTAAAKTTGCTTGTCTGTATGTGTGTGTATACTAAAACAACTTCCTTTTTTTGCAGCTCTGCCCAACAACCACAACAACCAATCAAAKCGTACGTGCAACATATGCAAATACACATTTCTGCCCATTCGGTTGTTACTACATATGTATGTGTGTGCGCCAACTAACACTCACGTATTAGCGAATTTGCATAGCAAATAATATTATATTATTTTGTCGCTGCAACATTTCGCGCCGTAAACAAGCAAACAACATACGCGTGTGTTGCAAGTAAACATTTGCGCGCCCATTTGTGATTTGTGTGTGCGTGTGTGTTGCCAAAGTAACTGAAAGTGTCATCTTCAGCGTTTTTCGCGTACGCGTACTTACCGCGTGTGTTTGTGTGCGTGTGTGCGCTTGAGCGCTACAATTTGCGTACAAAAGAAATTTATTTGCTTTTACCTGCCTCTTGAACGTGCAACATCCATACTTACTCACACACTGGTTGTTTGTCTAACAAATCACAATTGAATTGGATTATTTACGTGCCACCTCTTACTAATTGGATTTGAAGCATTTTAAATGCTATTGCTGTTCAAAGTGAAGTGATTGCTGCCACTTCTGGTGTGTCACCGGTGTGTTGCAGGTGAGTTTTTTGCGCTGAGCGCACAGTAAATTGATTTTATGTGCTGAGTGGTATGAGTGGACTTGGCGAAGGGAAGACTTTTGATTTGAACTAGATGGTATAGAAAGAAATTGGGCCACGGTATATACATACATACATATATGTATGCATGTATGTCGGTATTTAGGTATACATACGTGTATGATAGAGTACCATAAGTACGTATATTATGKGCAGAGCTTTCGTAAATGTTTCTGGAACAAAAAAAAAAAAAAACTCCAGTTAAAATGCTTTCGAGCAAGAAAACGTTAGCTTCGGTTCTATTAAAACCGCTATACCCTTCATATTACAGACAAGAACTTAATTATGATCACTCAGTTTATATACCAGCTATATGCTACATTATTTAGATCCAAATACTTTTTTTTTTATTTTTTTTATTTTTTTTGGTAGATTATATTGTTACTTTAAGCATCAGTTTGAGCCAATTTTCTTAAAGATAACTTGTCTAATAAAAAGTTTTCGCGACAAGAATTTGATTTTGATAGCTCAGTTTGTATGACAGCTATATGCTATAGTGGTCCGATCTAAACAATTTCTGCCCAGAATGTACCATTAAATAAGGCAATAAATACGGGCAAATTTCGTGATTTCGTCCCGTCAGATGGAAAAGTTTTTCATACAAGGATATAATTTTGATCATGCAGTTTTTATGGCTTGTACGGTATTATGGTCTGATTTCAGCACTTTTGACAAATAAATACTTTAATGAGAAGAAAAGATCGTGTACAAAATTTCACAACGATAACTCAMAAACATAGGCAGAAGTTCGCGCATATGCAAACAGAGAAATATGGCCAAATCGACTCTGCTCGCCATGTCGATTAGTTATACATATGTATATTCAGTTGATAGGGTTATCACTGCACTCAATAGCAAACATTCTTATTATCACATGTACTGATATKCATATGKATGTACATACATACATATGTGCATATATATATGTATTAGTGCCGACAAAGCACAATACTTTAATTTAAATGTCAAAAATTCTAAAGAGTGCACTTCTGCGTTACAAATCCTTCGTTGCAACAATAAATATTAATTGCCCGAGTACACCTTTATTGGAGCGTTTGTATGTGCGCTGAAGAGCATCAATTCTCGAGACAACTCAATTGTATCCTTAGCCGACTTTAGCGGTCATGTCCTTTTCAGCGCAATCAATCGGCTAAAGGTATAACAAAATGAATTTCTGTTGAAATGCGTCCTTTTCTTTGATAATGATGAYTTTAGGTTTCCATTAAAGGTAAGAAAAAAAAAAACGCAACAACAACGCATACACTTTCATATGATTGCTGTCGAGAGAGGGGAGGGTTAATTTTTTTGCTTTTGGAACGAACTAAAAATAGAAAAGGTCTATCAATAAGTAACCCATTTATAAAGTCGAAATTGAGACATATGGAATAGTGCAGGAATGCGACAGGAAGGGAAAAACGGCAGATGGTTTTTTGTGTATCAAAACCACAAAAAATTATAATTGTCTACGGTGCTGAACGAATCCAAGCACTTCTCTTAGTATAGCACGCATATAGAGTTCTGCTTTAAGGGAACTCAACTTCACTTTCCTTCATTTTCATTTCCATGTTTGTAGCAAACTGTGTAGTTTCAAAACTTAAAGTATTTTTTTATTTTTTTTTTCAATTTTCTACTTACACAAAGTCGCCACAAGTGATTCAGTTATGTCTGAAAGTGTACTGAAGGTAAATGAGAGAAAAGTGCGTGCCACAGCGACAGCTGTTTTCAAATTTGCCTTCATCCAATTAATTAAGTTTATCTATTTTAAAGTATGGCAGGAAACTCCTTCAACACATTTTGCTCTAAGCAGTAAATTACAATTTTTGAGATGCGGATAAATGTATGTAGCTTAGATATAATTTAAGGTTATATACGACAAAAAGAGAAGATGACCGTGACAGAAACGTGACTTCCTTTAAATGAACCTATCTTAAGAAATTTTAATGCKGAACTTCGTTATCTGTAAGCGGACTTGCCATTACCTTTTTGAAATACGTCTAATTAGATGCTACCTTATATTCTTTAAGGTCAATTTTACACTAAAGATAAAATGTTGCCGACATTAGGCTGTTGTGATATAAACTTGGCAGTCAATGTGGTTGGAGTAGAGGTTAAAGCGACAACGTAAAAATATCGCAGCTTTGAAATTGTGAKTTCCGTTTAACAAATTAAAGTCATACGGCTATGAAGCACATTTTAAGTACAGAAAACATTTGTTTGCGCTTGTTGCCTATCAACAGCGCGTAGAGACATCCACGCAGCACGCATTGCGTAAAAAAAWTWAAAAAAATGGAAAATAATTTCATTGTCACGTTTTTCGGCAATCTTTCACTTACACATGTTGCAAGCACAACGTTTAAAATCTGTGTCTGCCAAAAAGCACTCAATCTTGAGCATGTGATAAGGCTTCAAGCGCCTTCTTGAATGCCTGCCCCGTAGTGGCAAAAGAAATGCGAATTTCGTTTCGAACCCTCGATGAAAAATCACCGCATGTGTTGCTTAACTAATTTAGTGGCATACACTTTTTCACAACAGCACGTTTCTATGTTTTCAAAAAAAAAAAAAAAAATTACACACAAAAAAATTGCACAAATTTTCAGAGCTGAAAAAAAGTTTTCCTTTATTTGTTTTGATTATTTAACATTTGATTTATGACAGTTTAACATTTGCTTTGTACATTTCCCACATCACACACATAAAGCACATAAAAAGTGCAAGCATTGTGCATTACTAAGGGTAACATAAGGCAATTATTGGCATATGGTCGGATTAAGCTGTGCGGTTGCCGTTGGTGGGGTGGCTGTCGCCGTGAGATAAACACACTTCGGTTTACAATTTATATGCGCTTCCATTGTAATAGCAAAAATAACAATGAATAAATAGCGGACGCTAACGAGCGGTGGTTGAAAACCACCCAGGTCCGGTAAGAAAATTACGCACTTTTCTAATTTCCACTGTCACATTTCTACAATCCTACACAGGATAGTAGTTAATGAAATGGGTCGGCTGCGAAGTGCTAAAATCCATGTTGTGCACGCGAAGGCGGGGTCGATGACTAGCATATGATGAGATGATTACACTGCGTTGGCCTCTGCGAGTGCTTGCAGCAAAAACAAGGACGCCTGATGCTGTTGAGTCACAGCGTGTTTTTCCATGAATAAATAGCTACTTTATGTACGTATATGTATGTATATACTTTCTTAGTTGAACTCTCCATTGCATAGTTCCTAATATTGGCTGACTTGTTTCAATCTTATGTGCAAGCTTTTAGCAACGGAGACTCACAGTTATCTTTGGTGTTACTGCTGATGGAAGAAAGCAGCGTAAAAACGAAAGTTACATGTGTGATTTTCAAGGTTTCGTGGTTGGGTCGCTGCAGTTCGGTATGTTGCATGTAAACTATAGGGTCAGTAGAACTTAATTTGATGGAAATTAGTAATAAGATCATTGCTTGTAGATACTACATAGTCGTATCACATATACGTCTTAACAAAAATAATCTAATGTCGCCTGTGAACAGATTTTCAATATCGATGAAGTTCAGAGTGCAAAAAAAATTAGAAAGAAAGAGTTGTTTGAGTTTTATACCGTTTTAATTGAAAAATAAATACAAAATCGGTGCTGAAGCCTTTCAAAATAATAAATAGCGAACAAATTTAAGTAGAATGGAATCTATTGGAAAATGAGTAAAAATAACTGAAATTAAAAGAAAAATAATATTATAATAGGCAAATTGAGGTCGGGAACAGCAATGACAGCTGGTTAGTTCGATTTTAAGGGTTAAAATGATTTTATCTCGATTTTCGAAAACTAAAACTGTTATGGAAGAAAGATAATAAAAAGTTAACCCAGTTATGTGAACCTCAAAATTTGTATGAAAAAAATTTTTTTTTTTTGAGTTTTTCGCTTTCACCTTTAAATTTTGTGTATTTCAGCAATTTTTTTGTAAATTAAACTTTTTATGTCCCAAGCACACTGTATATTTTGAAATAAAATATTTACTTTTTCAGATTATTTTGACATAAAATCGTTAAATGTCCCGCTTTCCATTCAAAAACCGTCAAGTAAAAATTTCAGTTATTTCTTTTTTTTTTGTTTTTGAAAAATATTGCAATACTTTTGTTCAATTCAGCAATGTTTTTGTTTTTTTAATTTCAACCAAAATCTCATCTACTACATTATATTTAGTTGTATACTAAATTATTCAGAATTTTAGAAAAATATTTTTTTTGGAAAATATTTGAAATATTTCTTTTCACACAAATGTTTAGAAAATAAATGTATATTTTATTACCCAAATAATTATTTTCTTTAATAAAAAAATAACTATTCCAAAATTTTCAATTTATATTGAAATCTATTTTCTAATACATTATTAGCTTAATTAAAGATTATTTTTTTTAAATTCCAATTTCATTCAAATGCCATTTAGAAAACTTTGTTTTATTTTTTGTCACTCAGCGTTGCTTCAATGATACAAAAATATTTGCCTTCAAGGAACAGAAAGTTCCGTCAACCGCTGCTTGATATTGACTTTTCACATAATCACTTTAGTCCAGCTTCTAAGTCGGTGTTGATGACCCGAAATTGTGTGTAAGTTCTGWTTTCACATATTTACAAAGTCTCTGAGTATTTTATAATATTTCATACATTTCAAAAAGCAATCTTTCAAAGCTCCAAAGAGACTCCACTGGCATTAACGCCTTAACCATGAAAAATGATACGAAATATGATTGAACTCATAAAACTATCGGACATGCTGTATTTACATAATGTCTAGCGGACACATACATACACACATACACAAGTAGATTGCTTTGTTTTTAATTTTTGATCAGCGTAAAGCGTAAAGTCCATAAGTAAATAGTAAACACAAGAAGACAGCAAATAAAGAGCCAGACCGAAAATGGGCTAAACAAATACATAGATCACAGTGTTTAATC